TCTTCGAACTATCACAGATGACCTGCAAACAGCTCAGTGCGCCATGAACTACTATAAAGGCGAGGTGTGTACATAAATCATTTCATTCAGGTCATGCAATTACCTCGAAATCTGTACAAAAACTCGTATTGCAGTGTGAGTTGTTACTACGAAAATATTTTCTCTGTGTAGAAGAGAAAAGAGCCTTGGAGGATACGGTGCGAGACATGAGGCGCGAGCTGTCAGCATTGACGGTAAAAATTGGTGAAAATGGTTCTGCCTCTAACTTTGTTATTACTGTGTGATTCAGGATGAATTGGCTATTGTCCGCCGCGGATACGACGATCAGTTGTCGCAGATGACAGAACATGTTGCGGAGTTGAATGGGAAACTCGCAGGTATTGAAAGAGAGCGGACAGAACAAAAAACTCCTGCTACGCCACAGAGGAGTGGGGTAGGAATTTCTTTATTTCCATTAAGTACTTTGGCAAGCGGATGATACATACAATAGTGGAGAGCATAATGTAAGAAATGCATAGCTTAAATGCAGTCCACCAGAAAATTCTTTTTGCATCAAGTGTAAAAGTACACAAACGTACCTTTCGCATTTTATAAGATTAAATCAGAAGCAGGATGATAGAGCTGCAGCGACGAAAGTTGTAACGGAAGGTGAAAGGCAACGCTATCTTAAGCGAAAAAGGTGACAGTCATCCGCGAAGATGCCAGTGAGAAAAGGCTGAATTGGCGGTTTGCACAATTTTGCTCTAGTCTGATAACGATTGATGTCACTTCATTTTTAAAAATGACGCAATTTGGCCAAAAATGCGCAAATCAACGCCATTAAACGACTAACTACTGTACATAATAGCTTATGGTACCCGCCAGCGTTGAAATGTATGTGTGCAAAATTTGGGCCTTTTCGGTTCAGATCAAAAATTTGTATTCCGAACATACATACATACATCCAGACAGACTTTCTGCTTTATATATATGAGATAGTAAGGTGCAACATCCTGGATGCAGCAGAAGAGCATCTCAACGACCGCTGCAAGGAAGTGAATGTCTTTTGCTTGTTCTGTACTCT